ACGAATTGGGAGGTCCTTGGTGCATGACCTACGATGGTCCAGCTGCCACAGTCTAGAAATGGCCAAAGCTGTTAGAAGGCACTCCTAGCCACTAAGGTCACCTGGGACCTTAGTGAGAGATGGATCCAGGAGACCCCCGGACAACAAGCCCACTCCTTCAGAGAGAGTACATTCTCCACCCAAAGCAGGCAATTGACCAATTACACGGACTCAATAAATATTCACAAATTGTGCATTGGTCTTGTCAAGATTCAGACTCAGTCTTTTGATTGCTATCCAGCCCGCCACTGCACCCAGGCACTGACCCAGGGCTTGCACAGCCTCTGCTGATTCAGATGTTACGGCGAAAGAGAGCTGGGTTTATCAGTGTACTGATGACACCTTGCTCCATATCTCCTAATGACCACTCCTAATGGCTTCATATAGATGTTAAATAGCATTGGGGACTACATAGTGCACTGTGGCACCTCACAGCTCAAGAGCCTAGGGGCTGAGAAACACTATTAAATGCTGTCTGCTGGAACTGTCCCTGAAGAGGAGACCAGAGCAATGCCCCTGATACTCATTTCTTTCAGAGAGTATAGGCAGATGCCATGCTCCCTTGTATCAGAAGCAGGTGAGAGATCAAGCGGAAGCAGCCAGGTCCTTCCCTCAATAAGGGTCGTCCATTAGGGCACCCAAGGCAGAGTCAGTCACTAACCCAGATTGGAATGAGCCTAGACAATCAGTTTCCTCAAATAATGCATGCAGCTACACCAGCTGAGGGTGAACCTTCATGCACCTGTTGAAGTCTAATCCAGGAAAGCTTATGCTTCAGTATATTCCCACAGGACTTTTCTTTTTTGGCACATAACAGCTCATGTGTTTGACTTTGTGCTTGCTTAATTTAGTAAAAGTATCTAGAACTTAGGTGCTCTCAGCTTCCAAAAAATCAAGTGTATTTGGTGATTCTGTCACACTCCAATAAGTGCTCTTTGGTTAAGATTTCTGATTCTCATGCAGGATGAGAAAAACAATCGCCCAGAAACTTTCACAATCAACATGACTTGCCAGCTTTGCTGGCAGCTCCCTCCATCAGATTATGTCTGTTCCAATCCTACAAACTGCAAAACGGTCTCTTGTCCACGAGAACGATATAGTGCCAATTGCACAGTGCGGGATCATATTCATTGTCTGGGTAAGCAATGCCTTAGTGTGGGTGTTTGACGTGGTGGGGAGAAGAAAGGCGTCTTTCTGAACAATATTATTCACTACTTCCAGAGTATCTTGTTTGGACCAAGTTATTGTTACGGGCAGTGGCTGATAATTTTGCAGTAGGAGTCAGAAAAAGTTTGGGATCTTAGGTTATGACTAAGCTGTGTGGTATCCAGCTTATTAAACGAAGTAATATACATTGGTCTAGGCATAGATGTTCTGACCATCCCTGCCCATGCCCACCACTTCGGAGCAAGAGGGTATTGTAATGCAAATCACCAATCCCATTTTTCCTGGTAAAGGTTTTCTCTCTCACACCCCAGGGGGTTCCTATTGGCCCACAGTTATAGTAATATGATACCATGATGGTCATTTGGTGTTCGACAGTGTAGTAACTGTCTACCTTCCTAAAAGTTTCTGGTTATTAGATGATTGCTGGACCTTACTGCAATGAATAATCACAATCAACTTGTGCAGACACTAGGCAGAGGGGAAAGCCTTGCAGGGTATCAGCTATGTGTGTTGGCATCTAATTTAGTGGTAAGTAGCTGTTGAGTGTAAGTAGCTTCCGTGCGCTGCTCTGGTTTGCCAGAAGCGGCTTAGTCATGCTGGCCACATGACCCAGAAGCTGTACACCGGCTCCTTCGGCCAATAAAGCGAGATGAACGCCGCAACCCCAGAGTCGGTCACAACAGGACCTTATGGTCAGGGGTCCCTTTACCTTTACCTAGCTGTTGAAAATGATGGGTGAGCCACCTCAACATGAAAAGGATTCTGATCCGGGATCTTGTCCCTATGACCAAAATTGATCAGTTATGAAAGTACCTCTTTGACCACACTTGAAGTTCAGCAAGAGATAAGATCTCTAAAAGGCTCCTGAGTAAGATGGTGTCCCTGAAGAATTCCATAAAACTCTAACAGATGTTTTGGGGGCAAAAATACCAGACTTGGGAGAAATGCAAAAAATAATACTAATGAATAAAAAGGGGAAAGATGCAACACTGATAACAGATCAGCCTATATCACTCTTAAATCAGGGCTGTAAAGTATTTGTCATTGTTTTTGCAATAAGATCAATTAAGATAATTTCAAAGCACACACTGCCAACCTAACAGGATTCATTGTGCAGCACTATTCCTGTTTGTGGTCTTGGCTTTATGATTTCAATCTCTGCTTATCTTAAGGCAACCGCACTTTCTCCAAGATGCTTTATTGTAACTGGACAGGAGGCTACAAATGGTCAACTGCCTTGGCTTTAAGGTAGGAATAGGATTACCTGCTTTCTAAATTTCTAAATAAAATACTTTCTTTTTTGGACTTGATGTTTGGTTAGGCTGGTCAAGGGAGCCTGGTTACTTTATTTTGTCTTCAGGCAGTTCTGAAGCAGGCTGCCTGTCCTGAGTCTTGAAAGCAGAATGGGATTCTACCAGTATTTTGTGTTAAACTGTAAAAATAAGTGCAAAGTTTTCATTAAAAAAAATTATATCACTAGTAGGCTCATTTAAAGTAGATGATTTTTTAAGTCAGTGTTAATCAACTTCATTATGCTATTTGTTAGGTACAAATAATTTAAATGCTTTGCTGCTGGCATCAGTAATGGATGTCTGGATTTGGACAGCTTCTCAGACATAATTGTGTTGTATTTACAGCATCACACTTGGCGGTTTTGGAGCTGATCGTTTCTACTTGGGCCAGTGGAGAGAAGGTCTGGGCAAACTTTTCAGCTTTGGAGGCCTGGGAATCTGGACCCTCATAGATGTACTGCTCATAGGCGTTGGTTATGTGGGCCCTGCTGACGGCTCACTTTACATCTAACCATCACTGCAAGAAACGTCAGAGATGGATTGCACTTGGAAACACACAAACCGGACTTCAAAAACACACCTAGGAGAACTTGTTCCACATTTCACATATATTTAATGTACAGCATCTGTACTTAGACTGCCTTTAACTTAAGGTGAAATAAATGAATGGATCATTGGATGATGGGGCTTTTTCTGGAATTTGTTTCTTTTTGGCTTTTTAAATGCACTTAATTTTTTTTCTATGAAAAAAGGTGTTTTAAGTTGTGCAGTTCTGTTTCTTGGACAGATGTAAACTAATTCACTACATGTCTAGCAAGTTCCCTTTTTATCATCAATTTTTATTAAATGTTTTCAACATAAAATACAATAAAAGCCAAACTAATCTAGAGGAGAGAAATAAGAAAAAAGGAAGAAAATAAAGAAGAGGAAGAAAAGGAGAGAAAGTATCTTTCTGCTACCCCGAGTAAATCCATTGAGCAGCAGATTTTAAATTTTTATTACATGTGTTTATCTCCTGCATTCAGTTGTTTTTTATTTCCGAGAACGGTACATGCAGTGTATGTGTTAATTTAACTTGATACTTTGGCTCCTGCAGGACTGAATGTTACATTGTTATTGCTAGATAACCTTAGAAGTTGAGTCTTCTAATATAATGACTGTAATAAAATTTTCTTTCACCACACATATTTCCTTTAATGCTTTTCCTTTTCCTAATGGGCTCACTTCCGTGTACGGCACTTTTTTACCATTGGACCTATTGGTCTCATCTGCTCAGTCCGCCATTTGTATAGTGGAGGGGCCTGCACCTGGACTTAAGCTGTACAGTGAAGCCTTTTTTTTATGGCCCCCCAGACGCCTGCCCCAATCGATTGGCCACAGCAATGCTGATCAAATGTAGGGTGGTTGGGAGGCTTGGCTAGAGCCATTAAATTAACACAGAGACTGCTCTGGCCACTTCTGCTTCTTTGTCCTCAGATATAAAACTTGAGAGGACCCAAAGTTAACATTCAGACTCCCTTACAGTGGTACCTTGGGTTAAGAACTTAATTTGTTCCGGAGGTCCGTTCTTAACCTGAAACTGTTCTTAACCTGAAGCACCACTTTAGCTAATAGGGCCTCCTGCTGCTGCCATGCCACCGGAGCCCGATTTCTGTTCTCATCCTGAAGCAAAGTTCTTAACCCGAGGTACTATTTCTGGGTTAGTGGAGTCTGTAACCTGAAGCGTATGTAACCTGAAGCATCTGTAACCCGAGGTACCACTGTATCCTATAAGAATAAGAGTTGGTGGGGCAAAAACCTTCTAAGGCTGATGGGAGAAAGGGACGGAAGACTCCCATGTCTTTCCCAACTGCACTTGCAGCTCTCCCAGCCATTAGGGGCTCCCTCGGCCTGAAAAGGGAGATGGCACCCCAGGATCAAATTCGACAGGCCTTAGCTCTCCCGGAGTCTTTACCTCTCCCAGCCATTGCTGAGGACGGAGACTGCAGGCCTTTTCTCCTCTCCTGCTGAGCACCAAAGCAGCAGCCCTGCCTGGCCTCCTGTCAAGCCACATGGATTCTCCGTTTTTGTGTGCAGCGGTGATGCAGCAAACCTCTGGCCGGTGGTCTTTCTGGTGTAATGATGCACGGGGGGGGGGGCTGTAAAAACCCAGAGCATCTGTGGGACTGACCCATATTTTGGTGCCATAGTCGCACAGCAAAGCGGATGCGATACGTGATTCGACAGTCACTTTGCAAAAGACTGCAAGTGCAAGAGGGTCCTTTTGCAGAATTGTTGCTTCTAGGATCCGGCTCCTTTAGCCAGCCTGCCTTGGATCGCCCCCTCGCCGGGACTGGGGCGGGGCCGGGAGGCGGCGCTGCTGCCCGGGCGAGGGCGGCCTCCTCCTGGGCGGGCCCCGCGATGGCGGCGGAGCCCCCGGGAGCGCGCGGCTTCTACCGGCAGCTGCCCAAAGTGGTGAGGGCGGGGCGGGAGAGGGGGCTAGGCCGGGCGGCGGGGCGGGGAGGGAGAGGCCGGAGCTGGGGGGTTGCAAGGAGGCGCGGGAGAAGGCGGCGTGCCGAGAAAGCAGGGGCCCAAGAGCCGCCCGCCGCCTGCCTCCCAGGGAGCGTCTGGGTAGCTGGCCTGCCTCGCGGGCCCAGGGTCCCGGGTTCAGGGGCGAGTCCGGGTTCCCCGTCCCTTCACCGAGGCGGGTGGATCAAGAGTCCGCCTTGGTGTAAGACAGCTTCTTACACTTGCTAGCCCTCCACTTTTTAGCCACCATCACGGCATGCAGTTAATTCTGTAAGTGAATGGTTTGTTCTGTAAAAAAGAATTATTTTTGTCTTTCATGAACCTCTTGCCAGTCAGTTCCGATGGGTCATGAGAGAGAATTTATATACCCCACTGAGGAATTTCTTCCTGCGAAGCATCTTGAAGCTATCAACCGTTGTTGATCCAACCGCTTCTACTTCTTGTGGCCCCCAGAAGGCTGTCAAGAGGAGAATGCGGCCCTAAACAAAAGTCCCCTGCTCTTGTGTTGTGTAGGCGGCCAGAAATAAGCACTGACAGCTTAAGGTTCAGGAAGAGAGGCAACTGGGAGGGGGGAAGGGGGTGTTTTTAAAATGTTTCTAATGAAATTTGGGGAGAGTTGAGCACGTATTTGCTTCTGAATGAGGAGCTGCATGCCCACCTGAATGGCTCCATCAGTTCTGCCACCATGAAGAAATTGATGGCCCAGAAACCAGACCTTCAGGTTCCTCATGGAATGACCATGATTGACAAGGGCAAGAGAAGAAGCCTGGAAGAGTGAGTATGTCTCAAGCCTGAGCCTTAAAGGAATTTATTAGGTGAAGCATCTGCCTGGCTGCCTCCGCCCACAACATATCCCAATCCCACCCTCTGCACCTGTGTGTGTTGCTCTTTAGATGCAAGGAGAAATCCCTGTACTGCAACTTCGGCCTTGTGCAAGGTGTTAGCATCAGCAGCTGACCTTCAGATGAAGCACAGACCTGATTCTGCATCCTCACCCCTAATTCCCAACCAAACTCTTTGTTTGGCACTCCTGTTCCTCCTGCGCTGCATAATTAACTCCCCCATGTGCTCTTAATTGGCAGCGTCAGGCTGTAGCAGAGAAGGGATGAGGACCTCTGCATCAGCATCCAAGGGACCAGCTCTTTTGATGCCTCTCTTCCTTGAATGCTTTCATCTCAGCTGGTCATTAGAACAACTTGTAAGAGCTTGAACTTTAGGTTTGTTTCCTTCCTCCTCCCTCCCTATCCATTTTCCTTTTGTGCTGAGTCTTTTTAGGTTATAATGCTGAGGACAAGTTGTCTTCCTTTTTATAATTTATTTATATTTATATCATTTATATATTTAATATTCCTTTTATGTGTACATTTAATTCAGAGGTGCATGCCTGTGGGAAGGGATGCATGATAAATGCAGAAATCTATTTGAAACAAAGGTGATCTCTGGAAACGAGTTCAAAAAGCCGATTTTGGGGGAGTGTGCCACTTTCCCCTTTGTTTTGATGAATGCCTATTCATTGCAATTCTCTTTTCTTTCTTTAGGTGTTTTCACATGTTCCAGATCATCCATCAGATTACCAATAGGACTGAAGACATATTAATGGTAAGCTAACTCAAACTTAATTTTAATGTGTGCTCTCATCGCATGGAGCTTCCTGCAGCCAATGGGAAGCCGGCCAGCATCGCAGAAGGTGGTCCCTGCTCTGCTCCGCGCTGGTTTAGCGTGGCGCACAGGAGCCAAATGAGTGGGTGGGGGGTGTCCATGGGCCAGTTAAATGATCCCCATGGGCCGCTTGTGGCCTATGGGCCTTAGATTGCCAACCCCTGGTGTGGTGCTTCAAGTGTGGGACCAGGGTTCAAATCTCTACTCAGGCATGAAGCCTGGTGTGTGACCTCTGGCCAGTTGCTGCCTCTCAGCCTTGCGTAGCACAGGGATGTTGGGGGGATGAAATGGGGTGGGGAGAACTAGCCAGACCACCCTGAGCTCTTTGGAGGAAAGAAGGTGGAATAGAAATGCAGTAAGTAAATACAGTGGTGCCCCGCAAGATGAATGCCTCGCAAGACGGAAAACCCGCTAGACGAAAGGGTTTTCCGTTTTTGAGTTGCTTCGCAAGACGATTTTCCCTATGGGCTTGCTTCGCAAGACGAAACGTCTTGCTAGTCTTGCAATTTTCTTTCCGCTTTCCCCCCCTTTTTCTAAGCCGCTAATAGCCTTTTAGCAGCTAAGCCGCTAAGCCTTTAATAGCCGCTGAACCGCTAATAGCGCTAAGCCGCTAATAGGGTTGCTTCGCAAGACGAAAAAACTGCTAGACAAAGAGAATCGCGGAACGGATTCTTTTCGTCTTGCGAGGCACCACTGTACAAAGACTAGAATAGAATAGAATTAGTCTTTTGCTGATGATGAAAAGGAATCAATCACTGGCCAAGCTCGGGGTTGTTTTTTATTCTGGGTGTATTACTTACATATATTTCTGCTTTTCTTCCACCTTTCCCTTTAAGGAGCTCGGAGTGGGGCACACAGCCATCTCTTGCCCTTCCCAGCTCAGACGTTATCCTTGGGGCAGAGCAGGTTTAGACTCGGTGATCATCACTGGCCAAAGATCACCCAGTGAGCTTACTGGCTGAACAGGATTTGAGGCTGACTTGTGTGTGCTGTTTTGAGACTGATGGACAGCAAATCATTGCAAAGAACTGAAGAAACAGAAAAATATTAGCATGTAAGGTGTGATTAAATAAGGTTTGGCAGCTGGAACAATTATTAAAAATTGGTGAAGTGGTAGGTAGCTGAATTCCAATCATTAATAAAAAGAATTCTTAATGGATGGAGTCTTTTTAGAGGCGTGGAGATGAATACAAACTCATGTGTTACTATTTCACAATTCACATTACAGTATTTTTGAAGTGTTAGGGTTGTAAATGAATTGTATATGAAGCATAACTTTTATATCCTAGATTTTGCATATATTTATATTTCATGATGATATAAGAATTATTTCTGAAAAATAGATTCATGGAACCAGGTATGTGAGTGAATCTGAGATTTGAAACGATGTCAGTGTGCTTTGTCAATATCCTTTAGGTTCAAAATACCACTATAATTTCAGGTAATGAAAGATGTTGTCCAGGAATTTGCTGCTGATGGAGTCAAGTACCTAGAGCTAAGGAGCACACCCAGAGATGAGCCGACCACGGGTGACAATTTCCCTTTCCCTTTATAATTGCCTGCTCTTTGCCACTAAGCACCCCCGCCCCCAAGTTCTCCTCCAAGAAGAAATGCTCTCCCCTCGCCAGGATTTGGGGAGAGTGGAACATCCAAATGCCTCACAACAGCCACTCCCTTCCAAGATGGCGCATTGCTTTCCACATACAGTGAAACAATTTATTTTTCACTTTACAGAAAACATACTCAAGGTTGCTTGCATTTTAAAAAAAACACTCAGCAAAACTACAAATAAAATGAATTATTATAGAACATCAGCTGAAAAAGGCAGCTGTGTGAGGGAGAAGTGCTCCCCCCCTTCTTGAGCAAGGCGTGTCCCCCCCCCACCAGCTGAGGTCAGGGGGGAGCACTTCTTGCTCCAGCTCACTTCAAGCTCCAGGTCTTGCCTTGAAGTCCCTCCCTTACCCGCTCGACAGCTGACATCATAAGGCGGCGGGGGGGGGGGAGCGACCCTAAAATGCCCTTGGGGGCCAAAGGGGAGGCCAGGGCTGGTGGAGGTTCCCCACCTAGATTCCTCATCTAGGGTGAAAAGCAGTCCATAACTATTGGGAATAGGTTTTATTTATTTCATTTCATTTCCCTTTTTAATTGCTTTCTACATTGCTATACACAAGGCATCTCACAAGCTGCAGAAAGGAGACTGTACGAGAGCACACATCTTAATAACTAAATGGCATGGAGAAGTTTTTGGTGCAGTGGGCCAGACTGGACTGGGCTGTGTATGAATAGCCTCATCTCGTGCCCTTTCCTGGAACCTCCTGGCTTTCAGGGTGGAGCTAAAGCCCCGCCATTTTTTGACCCCAGTGGCTTTCTGCAGTAGTGCAGCCCTGGCTTGGCAAATGTCCAGCCTGCATCTGCACTTGAGTGCTGTGAAAAGAAAGCTGGGGGGGGGGGGTCAGTTGTGACCTGACCTTTAGTGATATATGGATTGGGGTATGGCTGAGGTCGAGGCATACTAGGAAACAAAACCCTGGGGTTGTGTGTGTGTGTGTGTGTGTGTGTGTGTGTGTCACAAACACTTTATACCTTCTGTTTGAAAGGAATTCAGATCTTCTCTTCATAGGTATGACCAAAAGGACCTATGTGGAAGCTGTACTTGAGGGTGTAAGGCAATGCAAGGAAGATGGCTTGGATATAGATGTTAGGTAAGTTTGTAAGCGATACACGGGTGGCGCTGTGGTCTAAACCACAGAGCCTTGGGCTTGCCGATTGGAAGGTCAGCAGTTCGAATCCCCGTGACAGGGTGAGCTCCCGTCCCTCGGTCCCACCTCCTGCCCACCTAGCAGTTCAAAAGCATGTCAAGTGCAAGTAGATAAATAGCTACTGCTCCAGCGGGAAGGTAAACTGTGTTTCCATGCGCTGCTCCGGTTCGCCAGAAGTGGCTTAGTCATTCTGTCTGCGGACAAACGCCGGCTCCCTCAGCCTATAGAAGGAGATGCGTGTGCATCCTCAGAGTCGTCCGCGACTGGACCTAACGGTCAGGGGTACCTTTACCTTTACTTGTTTGTTAGCCAGACTCCTTTAGTTTTAAATGCCACTGATTCTAGTGCTGAATCTCCAGCGAAGGATTCCCCGAGCTTATCTGGTGTTTGCCCTGTCCCCCTGGCCTTTTCTGCGAGAGGAGCTAATTGCATTCACTTGAGCAGGAAAAGAAGTTGGCTGCCGCTGTACAGTTTTCAACCTGGACCAGTCCCTACATCACAATCCTCATTTGTGAGCTAATGGTTGTTACTTCTGCAATAATATGGCTATCTATATTCTAGGTTTCTGTTATCTGTGGATAGAAGAGGAGGACAAATAGCTGCCAAGGAAACAGTCAAACTGGCCGAAGATTTCCTGCTTTCCACAGACGGAGTGGTGGTAGGCTTGGATCTCAGTGGAAACCCTTCAGTAAGCTTTCTTTAAAAAGAAGAAAGAAACACCTCTGCCATCACCCAAACTATCATATGTTTCTATCATGATTCAAGCCAGCCTTCGTCAACCTGCTTTAAACCATGAGTGTTGTGCCCTTCCGTGGGACCTTCGGGTGAATGGCGGGAAATAAACAAATAAGTGGATGCTGGGACTATGCTGGCTCAAGCTGAGCAGAGTAGTAATGCAAAACAGCTGGGGGGCACCAGGTTGGTGGAGGCTGTGTTAAGGCTTCTGTTCACCTGTATCTTAAGAACCTAAGAAGAGCCTGCAGGATCAGGCCAATGGCCCATTTAGCCCAGCATCCTGTTCTCACAGTGGCCAACCAGGTGCCTGTGCAAAAACTGCAAGCAGGATTTGAGCACAAGACTCACCTCCAGGAACTGGCATTCAGAAGCATTGCTGCCTCTTGACTCTGGAGGCAGAGCAGAGCCCTCATGGCCAGGAGCCTTCAGAGCCCCCTCCTCCTCCATCAATTTCTCCAACTCCTTTTTTAAAGCCACCCAAGTTCCATAGTTTAGGGGCGCAGGTGGCGCTGTGGGTTAAACCTCAGCGCCTAGGACTTGCTGATCGCATGGTCAGCGGTTCAAATCCCCGCGGCGGGGTGAGCTCCCGTTGCTGGGTCCCTGCTCCTGCCAACCTAGCAGTTCGAAAGCACATCAAAGTGCAAGTAGATAAATAGGTACCGCTCCGGTGGGAAGGTAAACGGCGTTTCCGTGCGCTGCTCTGGTTCGCCAGAAGCGGCTTGGTCATGCTGGCCACATGACCCGGAAGCTGTACGCCAGCTCCCTCGGCCAATAAAGCGGGATGAGCACTGCAACTCCAGAGTTGGCCACGACTGGAAGTGATGGTCAGGGGTCCTTTACCTTTAATTTCCATAGTTTAACTCTGTGCTGCTTGAAGAGGCGCTTTGTCCTGAATCCTCCCAACATTCGGTTTCTCTGGCTGCCCACGAGTTCTAGCCTTATAAAGGGGGGGGGGGACTTTTCTCTCCACATTCTCCACGACTTGCATAATTATGTAAACTTCTTTCCTAAGTTATATTTTTGCTTTACCTTCAAGGCAGGTCATGGCAAGGACTTTCTGGAGCCTCTCTTAGAAGCGAAAAAAGCCGGGCTGAAGCTGGCGTTGCATCTTTCGGAGGTAACGTTCTGCTGCAGGGACTTGCTCACTGAGCAGCTTCTCAGGCTAAATGTGGCACCAGGATTTATTTATTTTTAAGTGATGTGTGTAGGGTTCCCTGCGTCACCTGGAAGGCAGGTTGTCTTTGCCATCAGCGTAGCACTGGCAGGCCACCATGGCCTCCGCTTCTGCTGCAAAGCCGCAGTGTGACAGTCCCGCCTGTGTAGGGGCCACTTGTTCAGTTTGCACTGGCCACATGGGAACTGTGCATGGGCAATGAATAAATAAATTAGTAGTACCTGTAGGTGGCTTGCTACAAGGCTTACAATCTAAAAAACACGACTTGCAAGGGGAAAGGGACAGGGAGGGAAGAGGAAAATCAAAGCGGAGGCACCAGTTTCTAAATAGCAGTTCCTGTACTGGCCAGCCGGCCTGGTTCAGGGAATGAGGCCCCTGATGCAGTTAGCCCTGCTTCCTGTCTCTCCCACTGGGACAGTCTGAGGCAGGGGTCAGCAAAATTTTTCAGCAGGGGGCCGGTCCACTGTTCCTCAGACCTTGAGGGGATGGACTATATTGGGGGGGGGGGGATGAACGAATTCCTATGCCACACAAATAACCCAGATATGCATTTTAAATAAAAGCACACATTCTACTCATGTAAAAACACGCTGATTCCCAGACCATCCACGTGCCAGATTTAGAAGGCGATTGGGCCAGATCTGGCCCCCAGGCCTTAGTTTGCCTACCCATGGTCTGAGGATATGGCTGCCCCCAGGTGACAGTGGAGGGGAGAGGAGGAGGCGGCAATGGAGGGATCCTTGATCTTTTCCCAAACCTTTATATTTCTTCCTTCAAACTGGCAGCTTGAAACGGCAAGCTGGAGTACCTGTCTCTGGGTATATCATCTACTTCTTGTTTGAATAAATTTTATTAGAATTTAAAAAGAGAGATACAAAGTTTATTATCACATATCTTTTTTATTCCGACTAAAACATTACTTTAGATAAAAACACAGATACAAAAGAAACGGAGAGAGAGAGAACAAGAAAATTAAAGTTAAGAAACTAAGGAACTTACAATTCTTCATCTGTCAGCAAAATATATAAACATTATTCAAAATTCTCCCTATCTTTGTTTATGTGTATCTAAAGTTATTGGCTTTTTCCCATGTCCACCAAGCGTGATAGACTGTCCCTTCATGTTCTTTACATTTCCAACAGGTATTGGGGATATTTTATACATTCTACATAGTTTCTCAGGTGTTAAATATCAATGGTACATCGGTTTATTAAAGTTTCCTTTTATAACACAGTGTATAACCCTTTAGTCCACACATTTCCCCGCTGTTCCATTTGTATGTTATACCCACAATTTCTCACCCATTTGATCATGCATACTTTAATTTGTTCTTCTTGCATTTGAAATTTTGACAATAATTTATACATTTTCGCAATCATGTTCATCAGCTGTACACAACTGATTTCAGAATTTGTCTTTTTTTTTTTGTTCTATACCTCGTTAGGCATTCCTCCCCTCCCTTTTTCAATCTGCAGTTTTTGTCCCTCCTCCCCACCCCCTTATCATTTCCCTGCTGATATTTCTGTGTTCAAAGGGAGATGGTGAGGGACAAATGGAACTTAGCAGAATAGGCTAACCAAGAGGGCTGGTCTACCTTCAACTGAGAGGTGATGGATCCTAATTGATTTTGGAGAGGGACAAACAATTATTTGCATTCAGTGTGCGATTGCATTTAATATGTCTAGGCTTTTTTAAATAGTAGTGATGGATGCAATATTGATCAGGATTGGGACCAGAGCACGTAGCTTTCCCTGCCTCCCCTATAAATAGCTGTGAATAATGCAGTGAAATGGAGGAATACATGTAGAGCTTCACAAACTGAGCTTTGCTGGAAAGGCACCTCATCCCTCTGGAAAATAAGGGATATCCATCTTTATGGTGTTTTGATTTTTACAGACTTGTTAGAATTTCTCTTTTGCCAAAACTCTGGAATGTATTGACTGATGTCACTGTACCCATCTCTGCTTCAACATTTCACACATGTTTTCTGTGATGATTTTGTTGTACACTTGATTTTGCGTTTTAATAAAACAAACATTTATATACTACGTACTATTTCCAAAAAACCTGCAACAGATCTTATGGGGCTCCTGTTTTGGTTGGTTGGTCTGGTTATTTCAGCTTATAGAACTTGGAAAGGTGCGCAGTGGGTGACCAAATGCATTGCGGGGATGAAGGTGAGCATCACAGCAGAGGCCCATCAGATTATGCACAGTGGGCAGAAGGGCAACACGGTGGGGGTTTTCTTCCTTCCTCATGATAGTGGAACCCAAAGAGGGTCCTCCAGCAAAGCTGAATGGGGGGTTCAGGACGGTCAAAAGACAGTGCATAGTTAATCTGTGTGTCTTCTCTCAGATCCCAAACCAGGAAGAGGAGACCAGGCTTCTCCTGGGCCTGCCACCTGACAGAATTGGACACGGTACATTTCTTCATTCTTCATCATTGGCCTCAGGGGATCTTGTGCAGCTGGTTCGGCAAAATCGCACACCCCTAGGTAAGGAAAGGCGTTGAAGGAAAGATGGAGGGTCCTTGGGATTCACTTTTCCTTTGCCATTTCACCCTTGGTTGGCAGAGCTCAACTGCGGTTACCATGACAACTGTGGCTGCAGCAGCATTTTCTCAGGCCCGGTGGAGGCCAGTCCCTGGTGAGAGGAGGGGAGGAAGGTGGCTGGTACTGAGCGCTGTTGGTTCTCTTCTTCCTTCTTCACAACGTCCACACCAGACATGCTGTTTCTAGCTTCACAAGGGGATTTGGGGACACTTCCACTGGGAAAAGCCTTTCTTTAATGCAGGGCCAGTTTCCATGTGGAAGCCTCTCAAGCCCGTGCTTCCTCCCAGGAGGTCTGAGGTGGGCTGGGGCCACATGCCACTACTGACACCATCTCATGTGGAGTCCGCAGACACAACCAGAGCAACGCCAAGGCCTTCACACTAGGGTCTGCTTCTTTGTCTTCACTGCTATACTTTGCTCGGGCGAGGTGACCATGTCCGCTTTAGGGCAAGTGCTTTGGCTGGCCTTCCCATGCTTGCTCTCCCCGTTTGACCCCTTCTGAACCAGACTTCTCTCGTCTTCCTCAGAACTCTGCCTGACGTCAAACCTCAAAAGCCAGACGGTGCTTTCTAGCGACCAACACCACTTCGGATTCTGGTACAACCTGGGTCATCCCATCGTGCTTTGCGTAAGGCACTCTGCGTTATCCAGACACACAAAGATGTCAGGGTAGAGAACCTCTTCAAAAACAATAGGGCAGGCATGTCCAAAGTCTGTTTCAGGGGCCTAATCTGCCAGCCGGTCGGTTTAATCTGGCCCCTGTGGCAGTTTATTTCCTGCGGTAAAATCCTAAAAAACCCCTCAACAACTTCAATCCTAAAAAAAGCTCACGGCCCTTCACTTCATCAAATCTGGCCCTCTTTGAAAAAAGTTTGGACACCACTGCATAGGGAGACCCCCCCCATTGACATGTTGTAATAGCCTTGCTTCTCTGCCAGAAGAAGATGAGCCCTGCCATCTGTTGCAGCATGCTGATTTCCCACAATAGCCAATCAAATGATATTTATTTATTACACTGATAGCCCACTTTTCCTCTCCAATAAGCTCAAGGTGGCGTCCTCAGTTTTACTCCGCACAACAACCCTGTGAGTTAGGCTAGGCTGAAAGGCCCAAGGTCACCCAGTGAGCTTCATGGCCGAGTGGGGATTCGAACCCTGCTCTCCCAGGTCCTAGCCCAACCCTCCAACCTTTACACCGTGCTACCTCCAGGAAGTCTATGAACAGGGCATGAAGGCAACAGCCTTCCCTCTACTTGGTATCTAGCAAGCAGCATCCACAGGTCTGCTGCCCCTGGGCATGGAACTTCTGCTTGCCCCTGGTGGTTGGGCCTTTCCGGCACCTCCCACACCCCACGCCCTTCCAGCCTCACAAGCGACAGCCCTCAGCAGGGACATCAGGAACAGAAAGTTTATATATAAAGTGTTTTTGGAAGGCAGGCTACATTGTTGGCCAGGAAAATAGTCTGTGATGCAGTCCTTTAAGTGCCCAAAGCCTATAAACTTAACCCTTTTACCATTTTCTTTTACTGCCAGACGGACGACAAGGGGGTTTTTGCGACTGACCTGAGCCAGGAGTACCAGCTGCTTGCGGACACATTCCGACTGTCCAAAGTACAGATCTGGGAAATCTCCTACAATGCCATCAACTGCATTTTTGCTTCCAGTCATACAAAGACGAAACTGAAGGAGCAGTGGCATCAACTGAAAACATCTGTGCTTGAATAGCCATATCAGACCGCCAACAACTATGGCACTCACGCTGCATGAGCAGAGTGTTGCTGTTTTTAAAAAACAACAACGTATTTTTTATTAAAGATTTCTTAGTTTACAAAAGTATGTACAACATCTCTTTTTCCAAGTTACATTTTCTACAGATCAGTTTCATTTGTTGAGACATTAGTGTTGCATTAGGAAGAAAAGGGGGAAAGAGGTGGGGGGAACGGTAAAGGGAGTTGGGGTCAGGTGGCGATGTTTCTATTTTACTTAATGTATGTGCGGGGTTTTGTGTCAGCGTCGCTTGTGCAGGTAATAATAATAATAATAATAATAATTTATTTATACCCTGCCCATCTGGCTGGGTTTCCCCAGCCATTCTGGGCGGCTTCCAACAGAACACTAAAATACAATAACTTTTAAACATTAAAAGCTTCCCTAAACAGGGCTGCCTTCAGATGTCTTCTAAAAGTTTGGTAGTTATTTTTCTCTTTGACATCTGGTGGGAGGGTGTTAGACAGGGCAGGTGCCACTACCGAGAAGGCCCTCTGCCTGGTTCCCTGTAACTTGGTTTCTCGCAGGGAGGGAACCGCCAGAAGGCCCTCAGTGCTGGACCTCAGTGAACAATGGGGGTGGAGACGCTCCTTCAGGTCTACTGGACTGAGACCGTTTAGGGCTTTAAAGGTCAGCACCAACACTTTGAATTGTGCTTAGAAATGTACTGGGAGCCAGTGTAGGTCTTTCAAGACAGCCGCTCCCAGTCACCTGTCTAGCTGCCGCATTCTGGATTAGTTGTAGTTTCCAGGTCATCTTCAAAGGTAGCCCCATGCAGAGCGCGTTGCAGTAGTCCAAGCGAGAGATAACTAGAGCATGCACCACTCTGGCGAGACAGTCCGTGGGCAGTAGGGTCTCAACCTGCTTACCAGATGGAGCTGGAAGACAGCTGCTCTGGACACAGAATTGACCTGCACCTCCATGGACAGCTGTGAGTCCAGAATGGCTCCCAGGCTGTGCACCTGGTCCTTCAGGGGCCCAGTTACCCCATTCAGGACCAGGGAGTCCTCCACACCCGCCCGCCTCCTGTCCCCCCAAAACAGTACTTCTGTCTTGTCAGGATTCAGCCTCAATCTGTTAGCCGCCATCCATCCTCCAACCGTCTCCAGACACACAGGACCTTCACCACCTTCACTGGTTCTGATTTGAAAGAGAGGTAGAGCTGGGTATCATCCGCATACTGATGAACACCCAGCCCAAACCCCCTGATGATCTCTCCCAGCTGATGCATATAGATGTTGAAAAGCACAGGGTAGAGGACAGAACCCTGAGGCACCCCACAAGTGAGGGCCCAAGGGTCTGAACACTCATCCCCCACCACCACTTTCTGAACACGGCCCAGGAGGAAGGAGCAGAACCACTGTATGACAGTGCCCCCAGCTCCCATCCCCTCTAGACGGTCCAGAAGTATGTTATGGTCGATGGTGTCAAAAGCCACTGAGAGATCCAGCAGAACTAGGAAACAGGTCTCACCTTTGTCTCTAGCCCGCTGGAGATCATCAACCAGTGCGACCAAGGCAGTTTCAGTCCCATGATGAGGCCTGAATCCCGATTGGAAGGGATCCGAATGGTCCGCTTCTTCTAGGCATGCCTGGAGTTGTTCAGCAACCACTCACTCAATCACCTTGCCCAAGAATGGAAGATTTGAGACTGGGTGATAGTTGGCCATTTTGGATGATTCCAAAGATGTTTTTTTAAAAAAATGGTTTAATAACCGCCTCTTTCAGTGGACCTGGGAAGGCTCCCTCACGGAGGGAAGCATTCACCACCCCACGAATCCCATTGCCCAGCCCTTCCCGGCTAACTATTATAAGCCAGGATGGGCAAGGATCAAGGAGACAGGTGGTTGGTTTCACTCGTCCAAGCAGCCTGTCCACATCCGTGAAGGTAACAGATTGGAACTGATCCCTCGCAACTTGACTAGACAGGACTCTAGCACTCTCCTGCCCCGGCCCTGCTCCTACGGTGGAGTCTATCTCTTCCCGAATCTGAGCGACTTTATCTGCAAAAAACTTTGCAAAATCATTGCAGGAGATCATGTGGCCCATACTGGGCCCCGATGTAGCAGGTGGTTCCGCTAAATTGTGAACCACCTGAAAGAGTCTCCTGCTGCTGTTTTCCGCAGATGCAATAGAGGCGGTGAAGAAAGTCTTCTTCGCCGTTGCTACCGCCACTTGGTAGGCTTAACATTGAGCTCTAACCCGTGTCCGGTCAGCTTCAGAATGAGTTAGCCGCCACCGGCGCTCTAGCCATCTCAACGATCGTTTCATTCACCCTCTTTACTATTCACTTGTGTTCCTTTGGTGGTGAGAGAGGTTGGGGTTGGCCTAGGGTGTGGTTGTTTGTGATTGGCTGTGGTGAACTCCATGTGTGAGTTGGGTGGGTGGGTGTTTTTGGATCAGGTTAGCCATATTGATTCATATGCTATTGGTGGATTCTTGTCATTGTCTTGTTGGGCTGTATATGTGATAAAAGGGAGCCACACCGGGGTGAAGGAGTCTTCTTCTATTTGTCCCCGTGTCAGTTTCAGTTTATTGGTTAATTTTTCTAGTAAGGCTGTTTCCCATACTACTTGGTACCATTGGTCCATGCTTACTCCTGACATGTTTCTCCAGTGTCTGGTTATGATGTTTCTGGCTGCTGAGAGTAGGTGGGTGATGAGTTCTTTGTGATGTGAGTGGGAATTATTGTCTTGGGAGATGTTTAGTAGGGACAATTCTGGGGTGATTTCTAATACTTGCTGTCCGCAGACACTTCCGGGTCACGTATCCCGCGTGACGAACTGCTCTGGCGAGCCAGCACCAGCGCAGCACACGGAAACACCGTTTACCTTCCCGCTATAAAGCGGTACCTATTTATCTACTTGCACTTAGGGATGCTTTCAAACTGCTAGGTGGGCAGGAGCTGGGACCGAAAGACAGGAGCTCACCCCGCCGCGGGGATTCGAACCGCTGACCATATGATCAGCAAGTCCTAGGCACTGAGGTTTTGCCCACAGCGCCACCCGCGTCCATCTCTTTAGGTCTTTGTTAATTTGTCGTCACAAGGGGTTGTAGTTGTGGAGCTATAATTTATTGAGGTTTCTGGTTATTTGTACCCCTAGGTATCTGAACTTGGTGTGGCAAAATTTTACCTTGGCGACGTTAGCGCAGGCATAGGCAAACTCGGCCCTCCAGATGTTTTGGGACTACAACTCCCATCATCCCTGACCACGAGTCCTGTTAGCTAGGGATGATGGGAGTTGTAGTCCCAAAACATCTGGAAGGCCAAGTTTGACTATGCCTGTGTTAGTGAGTTCTTTTTCGATGTGAGGAGGGGTGCTGAAGCACATGGCTTCCAACTTTGCAAAATTCACCTGTTGGCCCAACACCACTGCAAATGTAATGAGCTCTCTGATTAGGGAGGTTGCTGTGTTTATGGGGTCTGGTGTTGACACCATTAGGTCATCTGCAAAGAGTTCAGAGTGTTTTCTGAATCAGTTTATACATTCAGAAGGAATAGCTGGTGAAGCCAGCCTATATGCAGCTCATGTCTTTGAATGGCCCAGATGTTAAAGCTCCCTGCCTGTAGAAAATGAATGTGTCAGGGGAAAAGTTGATATGCTAGTTTTGCCTAACTGGAAAATTTAGCAGACCTTATCCTGGGATGGAATGTTCTTAAAGCAGGCAGAAGGTGTCTGAGGCTCCTTTCTGTTCTCTGCTGTAGGGAGGGCAATGAGATCAGAAGCATGTTAAAAGTGTGAGCTGCCTCTGTCAGGTTGGAGATTTGTTATTTCTAGAGTGTCCCCCCCCCTTCCGAGCTTAATGTGCAAGATCCCAGTCCCAGATGCTAAAGAAGAGAAGTGTCAGCAAAGAGAGAGAGTCTAAGAGGCGCTTAAGCAGGTGGCATTAAAATGCAGGATAAGAATGCCCGTTGTATAACAGTGAGGCCCAAAGGAAATAATGGGAGCTGTGAATGGCCATTTTAAAGGCTGCAGTGGAAGCGGCCAGATTGATATGCAGATGGAAGGACCACCTTTGCCCTTTGTGGAGAGAAATAAATTCATGGCATCCCACTCCCCTGGTGGCCCCTCCCTCCTAGAGCCGTCGTTTTCTGTCGAAAGGGTGGAGGAGGAGAAGCAGCAACAGCTTTTTCTAAACAGAGAGGTTGTCTTTTCCATCCTATTGTAACCTTTTGCTTTTGTAAACTCTGCTTGTTGTAATAACCTTATGTGTGACATCTCCCTGAAAAGGGAATGAGTAAATGCCAGGAGCACAGAACATTCCAGAGAGCAAAGGCTGATCCATTGAGCCACTCTTGTCAAATGACTGCTCTTGCTCTGGTTTGTTTTCATTTTACCACTTGCAGGTTCAAGCTTAACCCCAGCAAATCATTCTCATTTGGTGCTGGCAAGTTTAATAAAAGCACAAAGAGCTTAGAAGCTGTCTAGGTCTTTTCTTTCTTCCTTATCTTGCTTTCTTGCCTTTTAACTGGTCCAGAGCCAGAGTCGGTCACACACTACAAAATACCAAAGAGAGTTGCAAATTGTATGAAATAATTGACAGCCAAAGCCCCAAGAGAAGAAGGGCACCTTGCCTCCCAGGTGGCAGATGTAGCAGGTGGAGACGCATCTCCCAGTGCAAGGTATCCCTGGACAAAAGCTAGGGAGGCTTCTTACCGGACTTCATCCTTCCAGCAGAGGGTTGCAGGTGCCCAGAAAGGGATCCTGCTCCCACCCCACTGTTGCCTCTCTGGAAATAGCCATCAGCACTGCCAGTAGGCACTCAAGCAGCCTTTTATAAAGGTTTTGTTCAAGCCTAAAATTGGGGCAAGGAGGGCATACTGAGGGCATATGCAGCTGCCAGTTTCCTTGCCCTTGACTTAGGTCTGCAAGCTTTGCAAGGGTGTCATGCTAGATGGGGCCTTAGAATCATAGAATCAGAGTTGGAAGAGACCACAAGGGCCATCGAGTCCAACCCCCTGCCAAGCAGGAAACACCATCAGAAGTCATCTACTCCAACACCCCTGCAATAGTATTCCTAATAGCTTTTACTGATAGAATTTGCTTTGCAGATCCTTGTCCACCTTCA